GCACAAAAGGTTGCATTGAATTTGAAAGGTAGGATTCCTTTCTCAAATATATATTCAAGAACAATTTAAAACTTATATCCGAGCCAACGGCGCGGAGCGCCGTTCCGGGCGTCAGCCCGGGGCGAGGGTACTAATTCCCCCCGGCTATTTACACCCGGGGCACAGAAGAGATAATACCAGAAGTCTCACTCGAGCGGAAACATGTCCCATCTTTTATACTGCGCATGCGCGAGCTAAACAAGTGTATTGCAGTGTTGACAATAGAAAATTATATTGGGAAGTTGTCATTCCTACAGTAAAAACAGCTTTTTTTCAAGTAGTACGAAATGTGACTTCGATTTATCTGTGGAACTATTTGAACAGAAGGTAAAGCAGTAATTTTTTTGTATTTAGAAAGCAAATTAAAAAAATAGCGCACTAAATATAAATTTGAGCATCATTAAAATGTGTTCGCTATGATGCCATTTTGTCTCCGGTATATCCGGAGTACTGCTTTTATACTGGTGGATATTCGAATTTATTTGGCTCAAAAACACCATTACTTCAATATCCCTTTCTTGTTTTTCCTTGGATAGGTTTTAACAAGATAGAACTCTAGATCACTTGGGTCCAAAAACGCTAGATTATAAAATCCTGATGTGACTTGATATACAAATAGAATATGCCTTGTGATTTAATACGACAAATAGAATGACTTTTTAAGTACAAACTTCAATGAATTGATAAAGTGTAAGGATAGTGTTTAAAGTCGCTTCATGTGTAGAAGCTGAATTACTTTAGTTTATACACTGTATTAAATGTCGATATCACATGTTGATATGACTTTAATACTAGCAACTTGCAATAAGTGGTCTGTCCTGCTTGTTTATAATACTTTAGAGTTTGGACATTAGAACATTGTAATTGCCTGACAGAGACTGTTAGGGCCTGTTTGTATGGAAGCCGGGCTGGCCCACTTAGCGAGACAGCCCGGTAAGGTAGATAAGCCGGACGATTTCTCTTGTGTTTATTTGAGAAAATTTCATCCCGCCTACCAGGACAGTTGTTTTGACATTGTTTTGACAGTTGTTAAAAATAGCTTGCGGCGGTATCGTTGAATTTTCATCCTGGCAACCGGGCTAGCCTGCTTGTGATTGTTTATATGGAGAAATTTCCATCCTGGTCTCTGCAACCAGGCCTCCCGCTTGTCCATAGAAACAATAATTTTTACTATAAAAATAACTAGACAGCGAGTTCTCACTTACCGGGCTGTCTCACTTAGCGGGCCAGCCAGTTTCGATATAAACAGGCCCTTAAAAGCTGCAAGTTTCCTTAATGCAATATCGTCTATGTCACAGAATACAGTTTCTGTAGTGTCGACATACTTTGTGTGTTTTCTGTCTTTAAAGTGTCTTATGTTTGTAATATTTTTGTACAATACCTTTTTGTAACTCAGTTATTCCTTCTCAAGGAAAATAAAAAAACAAAGCTGTGTGGGTGTGTTTTTGCTCTAGTTTTTACATTTACATGGTTCATGTACAATTAATGTACATTTATAAATTAGCTTTGTTCAGTGAATACAGGTGTGATTCAAATATCATTCCTGTCTGGTACTTGGGTCAAATAGACATAAGCATACCAAATCATGCTATGAATTGAAATACAAGTATAGGGTGTGTATTGTTTAAATAAATATATTTTCCAGTTAACCAAGTAAGTGCCCCAATGCACCCTACTTTACTAGTTTATTCAGGGTTTTCAGTTTTGTGTGAGGCTTTGGCTAATGGTGATGAAGCTATGGCGAAAGGGAAAAGCCTAGACTATGTAGACTGCACCTGAGTTAAGTTTCACAATAAATTCGTTCACATGGATTATATATTGATGTAAAAACTATGGCGAATTTGGGTGAAAAAATATAAATCTCGACTATGATTGGAAAATGGGTGAAGGTGCTAATTACAAAACGTCAATCATCCTTAATGGACGAAAACAAATTTGTCATAGCCATTTGGGCAGGCGTTTTCTCTGTACCCGCCACTGAGCTATAAATATATGGAGAGCGCAACTATAGATACAGAAATTGAAGCCGGAAGTCGCGCGCGGCCGCCATCTTACTGTGACCACCTTGAGGAGTGAGCTATTGTGATTAATACGGTATTTTCAACTGTTTTGTTCTGTTATCTCGCAATAGAGGAACAAATCAAGTCAAATATGGTATTTTAAGCAAAAGCACATGTTCAAGAATGTTGGGGACCTCTTTTACATTCAAATGAACTCAATCGTAAAGAAACGTGTCTATATTTTTGACGACGTTTCTGAGTGCGACTGAGATGAATCATGAATACAGTCGTGACAACACCTTTCAAATGGGAATTTCTGATAAAGATCAGTGAATTATACCATAAGTTAACACATGAGAAATTGGTCATGAACTTTATTGTTTTGGAAATGGTGAATTTTATATGGACAAGATCATAATATACTCATATCACCTCATATTTGTTTCTATCAACGCAAACAATTTATGTCGCTTGTGGGATTTGTTAAAGGAACAAATGATTCAGGATGGTAGAAAAAATAGCAGGTGCGTTGTAGTGATCTTATTTATGTTAATGGTGGGTGCTTAAACGCAATGCCTTGTGAGAATATATACCATACCATCCCTGCTTGTGTAATATGTTCCTTATTAAAGCCATAGTCATGATTAATTATCACTCTTCTGAGAAGACCTCAACGGTGTTTTATTCCAAAGAAGCAGATTAAAATTAATAAATTTGAAAGAAATCGAAAGTTGTAAAATAATGGTATCTCATTTCTGTGCTTTTTAGATCCTATAGAGACAGTATAAAGTGAAGATGGAACAATGCTGCAAACAGTTACTTTCAGTTGCATGTCTATATATGCATTAAATTGCATTGTGTAAAAACAATTTAATTGTGAAGGGTCTCTAGTATTATAGGATCTGTGTGAAATTCCAGTAGTTTGTTGCCAAATACTCATTTAGTGTGTTTTGCCAAATAAAGTTTAACTGCCTTGTATGAGGTAAAAATGGTTGTAACAAAAATGCAGGTTGAAATCAAGCCTTCAAAAGCATTAAACCCACATTAATATTTGCTCTATCTAGTGCCAGATGATTTTACTCATTAGTTAATTACTGTAATACTGCAAGTGAACTGTTTAACAGAACTCGTCTATCTGTATACATGGTCATTACTCCACTGTTGTCACTGCTTTGTTTTTAGGAGCCGACCATTTAACTTTTGAGGGGGGGGGAGTTGATTTTGAAAAAAAATTCCTGCAAGGCTATTCTGAACAAAAAAAACCTGCACTAACAGAGGGAAAAATATCCTGTCCCATTATTTGGTGGGAAAATGTTGCAAAACACCATGGTTGCAGGGATCGATTTGACCAGTCACAGAAGATCAGCTGGTTTGATTTTCAGGGACTAGTGTAAGGTTAATTTCTTGTTGGAAAACTCATCAAAGTGAGCTTCAAGAAATCCAAAATTTTCTGGGGGGGCAAGCCACCAGACCCCTCTAGAGGCTCCCACCTTTGATTGTCAACTCGGTTGTCTCAGAATCCTAGGTATCACTATGGCCTGATCTGCTGCCCTATGGTGCATACTTATTGGTTAAACTATGCATACATATGCTGCACGTAGCTGCAGCAACACATACTTGCCGACCGGAACTTCTCCAGGTCCCCCGCTAAATATGTCCCTTCCAGTTACACATCCTTACAGGGCCGTAGCAACCAGGGGGGTTGCAATCCCCCCCCCCCCAATAATTTGCTAATAATCATTTTCAAAATCATGCAGACCTTTATCATTTAATCCATGACAAACTGCAAAGGATGAAGATATTACTCATATTTTCCTGCAACTTATCCAATATATAGTTCATTAAATACGCCTTCATCCATTTAGTACTACTAAATTGTAAATTTCAACATACTAAAACGCTGGTTTCTGACCATCAGAATTCTGTCAAATCTTCCCCAAAGTCCAGGAAATGGCACTTCAGAGACTTTACATTTAAAAATTTCCTCGGGCCTTCAGCCCTCGCTTTCAGCCCCCCCCAATCGAAAAGAGCTTCCTATGGCCCTGCCTTAAAAGAGGCCCTGAACCAAATGTTATACCTCATAGCAATATGTATTATTAAAAGCAATGCATGAAGCTAGAAAACTCAACGTTAACTATAATCAAAGAATCTAAATGGGTTGTTCCAGAAAAGATCCATACTCCCCTCACAGGAGGAAATTTCTGCCGTCCGGAGGGGGAGGGGAGAAAAAATTGTTTCTGATAATAGTAAATGTATTAGGACATCCGAAGGGGGTAGGGGGGTTAACTTCCTATTTCCTCTGTGGGGGTGGTATGGATGTTTTCTGGAATGACCCAATAGTATAAGCTATTGAAAAAAAATGCTGCGAAAGAGTGAAAAAAAAACATACATGGTGATGGGATAGAAAACAACTTGAACATAACGATCCCAGAAAAAATTCCCTGCCAGCAGTAAATCCCCCCCTCCCCCCCTCAAAAGTTAAATGGTCGGCCCAGGTTGCAGTATTCAGTCAACAAACAATGTTTTATAACCAATACATTTTTTTGTGATTAGGCTGTTAGATTTCACACAGATCCTATAATACTAGAGACCCTTTACAATTAAATTGTTTTTACATATTAAATGCAATATAATGCATATATAGACATGCAACTGAAAGTAACTGTTTGCAGCATTGTTGCATCTTCACTTTATACTGTCTCTATAGGATCTAAAAAGCACACCGATACCATTATTTTACAACTTTCAATTTCTTTCAAATTTATTAATTTTAATCTGCTTCTTTGGAATAAAACACCATTGATATGAGGTCTTCTCAGAAGAGTGATAATTAATAATCATGACTATGACTTTAATAAGGAACATATTACACAAGCAGGGATGGTATGGTATATATTCTCACAAGGCATTGCGTTTAAGCACCCACCATTAACATAAATAAGATCACGCACCTGCTATTTTTTCTACCATCCTGAATCATTTGTTCCTTTAACAAATCCCACAAGCGACATAAATTGTTTGCGTTGATAGAAACAAATATGAGGTGATATGAGTATATTATGATCTTGTCCATATAAAATTCACCATTTCCAAAACAATAAAGTTCATGACCAATTTCTCATGTGTTAACTTATGGTATAATTCACCGATCTCTGTCAGAAATTCCCATTTGAAAGGTGTTGTCACGACTGTATTCATGATTCATCTCAGTCGCACTCAGAAACGTCGTCAAAAATATAGACACGTTTCTTTACGGTTGAGTTCATTTGAATGTAAAAGAGGTCCCCAACATTCTCAAACATGTGCTTTTGCTTAAAATACCATATTTGACTTGATTTGTACCTCTATTGCGAGATAACAGAACAAAACAGTTGAAAATACCGTATTAATCACAATAGCTCACTCCTCAAGGCGGTAATGTAGCAGCTTGAATAAGATTGTTTTCTATTGGTCAGAGTACTAATTGGGTAGCGAAGGTAGCAAACCAATAGGAAGCCAGAGATTGTCAACATTTACCTTTGAACTTCCGGTTTATTTGTAAGATCATGAACAAGCAACTGGCCAAGAAATTGAGCAAAAATCTTTGTTTCTAAACTTGAATGTATTAATAAATCGTTCTGTGTATGCAATGTAAGTATCATTTAATAATGAGTAGCGTAAAGATGTAAACGCACTTTTTGCGGCTTATTACAGTAAAAGCAAGTATTGTATTGTTTGTCACGTTGTTAAATTCGCTAAACTTCTGTGTGAATGTGATAGACTACCTGGCGTTCCCTCGAAACGTCGAAGTTTTGTCTATTTATTTTCAGGTAGGCTATCACATTCACACCAAGATTTACACAGATGTTTTATCGAAGATTCTACCAGCGGTCAAGCGTTCGAGATAAATTCGCTAATATTGCATAAAAACACGATGTAGTTTATATTATATCTATTTCACTTTATAGAATGTTTATCTACAGCTGCACCCAAGACGAAATACATTAATCCGTGTTCGTGTTGTCAGCAAGTAGTTGGATAGTTTTTTCCACCGGCACATAATTTCGTGAACAAAGACGAGACATAGGCCTATTTTAAAAACGATGTTGACAACATTATGTTGACAACATTATGTTGACAACAACATACTGTACAGTATTAATGTTGTCTTTTTATAAATTATAGTTGTACATTTGCCTTTTTATGTCAATTACAGTAAACTTTATTTCAATTTAATATCGTGTGATTTCACCACATGCTTGAATCAGGTTGTTTTACATTACATGATTATACCTTGTCAGTTTATATAATTTTTAAACCGAAATCCTCACATGTATCATGTATCCTCCTGACCACACAACTCACAAGTTAAACATGTGTTAATCAGATACACATGACACCATTAAGTAGCCTTATGGAGATACCTAATAGGATATGGAAACACAGCTAGTAGCTATTGCAAAACTAAAAGGTATAAATTGTGATGAACAAAAAGAAAATATATATGTTTCTCATAGACATAGGGATGCCAGAGAGAGGGGCAAATCTGCTCTTTTCTAAGGGGGCTGAAGTGCCCTTTTAATGTAACGTGTGCATATACTAAAACCTCCAAATACAAGAGACTTCAACAGTAAATCTGATTGATTATTTTATGTTGAGACTTTATATTGCTTTAATAAGCATCAACCACATATGTGCCTCAAAGGGAAGTTACAGTAGGCCCCTTGTCATTTATTAATAGGGTCTCATGTCCTTTGTGTAGAAAAGTTGCAATTAAATGAGCAGAAATTTGAATTACAACAAAGTTTAAAGGCTAAATATGCTTTCAATATAATATGACCAATTGCCCTTACATTTGCCGACTGCCCCTTGCCATTTGCCGACTTCCTTTTGCCCTACCACTGCTCCAACATCCCATAAATATGAATCAAATATCTAAAGGATTGGTTCAAGGTAATACACCTAACAACTAGTGATGAACCTGAATACGCATATGCACCCACAATTATCATTTTACTGCAGTCTAACACAAAACATCCTTACTTATCAGGAGTAATAATATTAGTTAATGGGTAATAGAACTATCTGCCAGTGTCTTGTTAAAACCATTAATTATTTAATTGCAATTAGACTGGATTCTCATGCTTTAATATTTTACTTGGTCTTACACCAGGCAGTTTTACTCATTCAATAAATAGAGGAGTACTGGATGAGCCTGTTGCATTGGGTACTATATTGCAAGTATATGTAGGAGCTAATTGCTTTAAATATGTGTACACATTATACAAACATGTTCTAAATTTCATTAATTAACCCATTAAGCGCCAGCGCTCTCCCCTTGACGAGTAAAATCGTCTGGCGTTAGACAGAGTAAAATACTCTGGCGTTAGACAGAGTAAAATACTAAAGTAGGGTGCATCAGGGTGCAATGCAACTCAATGGGTTAAAGACTAATAAGTATCCAGAATACCACATACAAAATAGTATCTTATCTTGTTTATCTATATATAGACACATTTATAGCTAACATAAAAATCTTACTGTAATAAAAAAAATTATATCTTTCGTATTTAAATATATAGTGGTCATCAAGCTATCAAAAATAGATTTTACATGTTCAAATAAAACCCTAAGGAACTGTGATAGGAATATGTCAGATATTAGGCAAGGCCAGTGAGAGGGCAAGGAAAGAGCAAATACCCTGGGAACAAGGTTGGCGAGAGGGGGGCAGGGGGACCCATTCTCGTCCACAGAGCCATTTTCCTTCGGTCACTCGTTGAAAAATTAACAGCAATGAAACAGGTGTGTGTTGCAGGTAAAGTTAGATATTAGGACAATCTGTTTAATCTAGCCCATGATGTTTTACCCCATGATGTTTTACCCTGGTGAATATGATTCAACCATATGCAATTTAAAATATATATTATGTGTTTACTACTTTGCAATGCAACATTTGTCCTCATACCATAATCCTAACCCATGGACTGTTAGTCTCCTATGCAGACCTACTTTAGCGGGTTTGGGCCCGCCGCTAATTAAGTAGGTATGCGTAGGAGACTAATGGCCTGTCTTCATACAGCGAAATGATTTGAACACAGGGTTTTTTTACGCCTTGTCTGGGGGGTGGGCATCTACAAAAAAGGACCATACTATACTGAGTGTGGAGAGATGACAGATGGTTGTTGGTGACCAAAAGTTTGGTGTGGTATCTTATGTACAAGTAGGGGGGTCTGGGGGTATTCTTCCCCAGAAACTTTTTATCCTTAATGTGTAGCCAGTATTTAACGATATGCAAAGAAATTTGTGCAATTAACGGTATCCTTCCTAATTCGGTATAAATTGCTATATTTGTAGTTTTTGAGTGAACTCCAAAAATACGTTTACAAAATTTTAAATGAAATCTTTCTATTTAATAAAATGTGAATATTGTAGTCGAAAAAAAGTTTTAAAAGCAATTTGATTGGCAAATTTTCAAAATTTGAAAATTTTTTGTATAAAAAATTGTAAGCTCGTATCAGCAGTATCACCTGATCAGCAGTATCACCCGTTTGAAATTTCCGGAAAAGTGAGGAGTAATTCCAAGGTAACAATACTAGCTCCACCTGTTCTATAGGGGATTTTCTTCGTATAACCAAGCTGACGTTAAATATGCACGCCTTTGGTCGGCGTTCCAAAAAGTAAAACTTTGCATTTTCTCCTATTAATTTTGAGCTTCCATTTCTTTGTATATATTTCAAGTTTTGATAGACATTCTTGTAAACCTATTTGCGATTTGGACAACAGGACTAAATCGTCCGCATAAAGTAAACTGTTCAAATCTGTATTACCAAGTTTTACTGGATCACATGCCTGGTTAATTTTAAAAAAAATCAGGTATATCATTTACAAACATGTTGAAAACAGTAGGAAGAAGATTACAGCCTTATTTAACACCAACATCAGAGTTGAAGAAGGGAGTTGTTCCTTGACGTAATTTTACTGAATAGTTTACTGAGGAATACATACACGGCTAAAAACGCACAGGTTGTTACAAGTTGACAGGCGTGAACACTGTTGTGCGGCCAACTATGAACAAGTTGTCAACCATGTTGTTCCAAGTTGTTACAATTGAACAATGCTGCAACAACATGTTGACAATACTGTTCATAGTGGGCCGCACAACATTGTTCACGCCTGTCGTCAATATCAACTTGCACATTGTTCACGCCTGTCGTCGAACAACATTGTTAACGCCTGTCATCGATATCAACAAGTTGTTGATTTTCTCAATTTTTACGCATGTACTTATTAACATTAGACGTAAAAACGTTTTACTGCATCCAGATAAAATAAGCTTATAAAAAAGACCTTCCCTCCATACACTATTATAGTCCAGGAGGAGAAAGGGGGGTATCGTAACCCGAGCAGGGAATTTATGAGAATATGTGACTTTGGTCAATTTTGTGGCGCTGATTTCAAAAATCGATGTTATACGGGCCAATACCGGGGCCTTCGGCCTCGTTTTGATGCATATAGCCTCGTTTTGGGGCATACATAGGGAACACGTTAGTTGTCTTAGTTAGCTAGGGAAACCAGTGATTTTGGTCAATTTTGGTCAATTTCGGTTCGCTGATTTCAAAAATCGATGTTACACGAGCGAATACCAAGGCCTTCAGCCTCGGTTTGGTGCATGCAGCCTCGTTTTGGTGCAAATAGATGGAAATCATTAGTTAGCTTAGATAGGCAAAGTCGTTGGTGATCTTGGTCAATTTCGGTGCGCTGATTTTAAAAATCGACGTTACACAGCAAAATACCAAGGCCTCCAGCCTCGTTTTGGTGCGTACAGCCTCGTTTTGGTGCCTACATATGTGCCTTAGATAGCCAAGGAAGTTGGTGATTTTGCTCAATTTCGGTGCGCTAATTTAAAAAATCGAAGTTATACGCGCAGATATATTGGAACCTCTAGCCTCCGTTTGATACACATATCCTTGATTTAGTGGAACTATTGGGAAGATCCTACTTAAACAAGCAAGAAAGCTAGTGATTTCTGCTCTTTTTGATAAAAAAGCAATACTGTTGCCCCGTTAAATTGAGGTCATGTTATGCATTGCATTCAAAAAACATGTACATTCTGATCACAAACTTTGCACTTTCCTTTTCAAAATTCACTCGTGTCTTCAATTTCCACATCCAAATCATCCTCGTAGTCATCATCGGAGGACAAACTGTTCTAACTCTCCGTGCCTGCGAGTAGCGCATCAATCTCCCCGGGATAGGAAATGTCACTCCAGACAACGCTTCCATCTCTGTCCCATCCATGCTCGTCGGGGCTCTCGAGTTCCACTAGCAGCTGATCGGCGTGTCAAAAGATGTACGCGACATAGTTAGCTCTCATTATGTGATGATGAAGATTTGACTGGCATAGTGGCATTAGACAAAGGTCAATGATCTTTTTCTTGTTGAACTTGTTCCAAAATACTTTCTTCCTTGCCTCATTGGCTGAGAGGATACGTGGATGCTCGTATATAGAACAGACGAACCATTCTAAACATAGGCGCACGGGAAGGAAAAAATTAGGGGGGAAGAAAGAAATTTGCCCGACTTTCCAACCCCGTCGCCAAAAAAATTTCGCTCAGTGTACCATTTTTAATTAAGTGTCAAAAAATTTTTCGGACATACCAAAATTTTTCGAAACGTTAAACAAATTTTCCCAAAAATCGAAAAATTGACATAATTTCCCACAAAATTTGCAGAATTTGTCCATTTTTTTTCTATCATAACAAAAAATTACCCGACTGTGAAGCGAATATTGCCCAACTGGCTTTGTTTGCCCAACAAACTGGGGTTATTATTAAGAGAGATTTTCTTGTTTTGACTACTTTTTGCCCGATTTTTGCCCGACTTTTGTTTAACATTTGCCCGACTTTTCGACTTTGTAATCTGTTCGGGGGGGGCAGCTGCTCCCCCTGCCCCCCCATCCCGTACGCCTATGATTCTAAACCCCGAACCAACTTCTCGCTTGCTGTCACCTCCGTACCCAAGGATGAAAATAGATCGATAAAGACAGTGTTCTTGGTCACGGCTTTCCACACGGCCTGCTTTTGCTTTCGAAAAAGGCTAGATACATAATCGTCCGGAAAAGGCATGCATTCCCAAAAGAGCTAATCTGTGACCAAGGGACAATCCAGTTGACGTCACGTCGATGATTTTTCTGTTCTTCCCGCTGCCATTGTCAATCAGAATCTGTGTGTCCGAAAAATAGTGACCAATGAACAAGCTAAGGTTATTATGTCTATATCACCAGATGGCGACCGTACCATTGCAGTTGAGCTAGGTGGCAATTGGCTAGCATGCACAAATGCAATGAGTTTATTACCAGAATTAACCAGCGACCGCGAGGAAGCGGACAAGAAACTCGTTGCATTTGTGCGTACTAGCCAATTGCCACCTAGCTCAACTGCAATGGTACGGTCGCCATCTGGTGATATAGACATAATAACCTTGTTCATTGGTCACTATTTTTCGGACACGCAGATTCCGATTCACAATGGCAGCGGGAAGAACAGGAAAATCATCGACGTGACGTCAACTGAATTGTCCCTTGGTTACAGAAAAGCTCTTCTGGGAATGCATGCCTTTTCCGGAAACGATTATGTATCTAGCTTTTTTCGAAGGAGAAAGCAGGCCGTGTGGAAAGCCGTGACCAAGAACACTGCCTTTATCGATCTATTTTCACATTTGGGTACGGAGGTGACCGCAAGCGAGGAGTTGGTTCGGGGTTTAGAATGGTTCGTCTGTTCTATATACGGGCATCCAAGTATCCTTTGTGTCAATGAGGCAAGGAAGAAAGTATTTTGGAACAAGTTCAACAAGGAGAAGAAGATCATCGACCTAATTCTGATGCCACCATGCTAGTCAAATATCATCACATCATGAGAGCTAACTATGTCGCGTACATCTTTTGACACGCCGATCAGCTTCTAGTAGAACTTGAGAGCCCCGACGAACATGGATGGGACGGAGATGGAAACGTGGTCTGGAGTGACATTTCCTATCCCGAGGAGATTGATGCGCTACTCACAGGCACGGAGAGATAGAACACTTTGTCCTCCGATGATGACTACGAGGATGGTTTGGATGTGGAAATTGAAGACACGAGTGAATTTTGAAAAGGAAAATGCAAGGTTTTTAATCAGAATGTACATGTTTTTTAATGCCATGCATAACATGACCTCAATTTAATGGGGCGACAGAATTGCTTTTTATCAAAAAGAGCAGAAATCACTAGTTTTCTTGCTTGTTTAAGTAGGATCTTCCCAATAGTTCCACTAGATCAAGGATATGCGTATCAAACAGAAGCTAGAGGTTTCAATATATCTGCGCATATAACTTCGATTTTTGAAATTAGCGCACCGAAATTGAGCAAAATCACCAACTTCCATGGCTATCTAAGGCACATATGTAGGCACCAAAACGAGGCTGCATGCACCAAAACGAGGCTGAAGGCCTCGGTATTTGCCCGTGTAACATTGATTTTTGAAATCAGCGCACCGAAATTGACGAAGATCACCAACGACTTTTCTTATCTATGGTAACTAATGATTTCCCTCTATTTGCACCAAAACGAGGCTGCATGCACCAAAACGAGGCTGAAGGCCTCGGTATTTGCCCGTGTAACATTGATTTTTGAAATCAGTGCACCGAAATTGACCAAAATCACTGGTTTCCCTAGCTAATTAAGACAACTAACGTGTTCCCTATGTATGCCCCCAAACGAGGCTGTATGCATCAAAACGAGGCTGAAGGCCGCGATATTGGCCCGTAATTGAAATCAGCGCCCCAAAATTGACCAAAGTCAGATATTCTCATAAATTCCCTGCTC